CGGCCGACTCTCTGGCAAGCGAGACTCTCGAGTGCACGAAGTCTACGGTGGTATCGTCGGACGACCGAGTATTAGAGCTGATGAAGCTGAACCGTATCGCTGAAGTCATCTACGAGGTTGCTGACGGTTGCGTCGTCGAGGACATACCCTCAACCAACACAGTATGGGCTGTGGTAGCTTCTGCCAAACCTCGCAGCAAGAATTTTTTCGATTTTGGGCGAAGCGAAACCGACCACAGACGGCAGAACGAGACTGAACCCGGACATGTGGCTGTGATGACCAGACGCCAAGCGAGAGCAAAGGAGAAACACGTCCGATTTGCAGATGAAGTCTCGGTCACCGATCAGGGAGACGCATCTCACCGAGTAGAAGCCAATGGTGTGCCGAACGAGTCTCAGAATGAAGCAGAAGCTCCACCGCTGCGCGCCGAGACGTCACCAGCCCCACCGAACGCGGAAGACATTGACCCGCTGGTAGTACAGGAAGAACGCCGAAGGAGGAACGCCACCGCTCAAGATGAAGAGTTACGGTGGTCGAATCTGAAGGCAGTGCTCCGGGGAGATGATGCGAAGATTGGATACAGAACAGGACGAGATGCATGGGAAATGGCGGACCAATTTGTGTTGAGCGAGGACGATGTGCTTTATTACACTAGAACGAGCCGTCGTTCAAGTGACGACGAGCAAGCCGAGTTGAAGATGAGACTCGTGGTACTCACAACGATGATCCAAGAGGTCCTGCAAAGCTGTCATGATTCACTCGAAGGCGGTAATAAAGGTATTACCCGTACGCTACATCGAGCGTCGAGAGACTATTACTGGATCGGCCAGTATGCCGATGTTGAGAAACACGTTAAGTCGTGCCCTGATTGCAGTTCAAGTAAGAGCCGAACTCAGTTCCGCGGGTACTCGCCAGGGAACATTCTAGCCGAGAAGCCCTTCGAACTAGTCTCCATGGACTTCGTGATACCGCTACCGAAGAGTCGCCGTGGCAACACGGCTCTCCTGTTGTCCCAATGCTCGTTCACGGGATTCGTGATGGGCAAAGCCATGTCCGACACTACTGCCTTACTCGTTGCGCAAGCTTTCGAGGAGTGGTCTACCGACGTTTTGGGGCACCGTCCTTGATCCGTCATGACCGAGATCCTCGATTTATGAGCGAGGTCTTCCAAGCATTCGCAGAAATGATGCAGTCTCGGTCGAAAGCGACCCTGAGCTACCGACCACAGGCCAACGGCCAGCAGGAGAGATCGGTGAAGACGATCGTGCAGTCAGTCCGCGTATACGCTGAAGACCCATTGCAACAAAATTGGGACGAGATCGCCGAAAAACTGATCTTCGCCATCAATAATTCCCGTGATACAACGAGGAAGGAAACTCCGTTTTACCTCGTTCATGGGTGGGATGCACAGTCGACGCTCAAGGCAATGTCCTCGTCACTCAAACGAAGCTTCGGTAGCCAAACTGACGCGCTAGCATGGCGCCGAGAGGTCAACCGACAGCAAGAAATCGCCCTGAGGATGGCCAAGGAGTACCAAGCCGCGGCAAAGGCTCGGAGAGCTGAAGAGCACAATGCATCACTTGGCAGGAAGGAGAAGGAAGCTACGACAGGCGTTAACGAGAATAGAACCTCAGTCGACCGAGCACCGAGTTCCTCTGACCATGGCGGAGCTACAGTGACGAGAACGAGGCTTCCTCTGCAGCCTGGAAGCAGAGTGTGGCTGTACATGGAGCGGGTCCGACCAGGACTGACCAAGAAACTAGCCTATCGGTGGCACGGACCGTTCCGAGTGAAGAAGAAGGTCGACGAGTTTGCGTATGAGTTGGAATTACCTGACCGAAGTGGATACCGGCTCTACCCGGTGGTGCATGTTTCACGACTCAAGTCGGTGGACGAGTTCGAAGGCCGACCGAGGGTTCGTTTGGCTCGTGAGGTCACAGAAGACACTCGTCTTGACTTCGACGAGGAACTACTGCCTGAAGACAGTTTTGAGCCGGACCACTTGGACGGCGAATATGAAGTCGGGGCTATCCTCGATGACCGGACCCCGTTGTTAACGAGTACTCACCGGGCCGTCCGAGAGTTCAAGGTGAAGTGGGTCGGCTATGACGGGAACCAGCGTCCAATCTCTCGTGCGGTGGCCTCCTGTACGATTACCTACGCCGGAAGCGATGCGACCGACGTTTGCAAATGGGCCAGGTGGCCGACGAGGAGGAATTCTGCGCCCCAACGAGGATTGAACTGCTCGCGGGGGCAATCCAGCCCGCGATGTCAGACGAACGAGGCTACTGGAGATGATGATTGAACTGCCTGCGAGGGCTATCCAGCTCGCAGTGACAGACGAAGAAAGTTACTGGAATCGGCATGTTACGTGTTAAGTGAACGAGTCACGATGGAATGGAGATATCGGAATGGAGACAGGAACAACGGAAGTCGCAAGTGTGACGAAGCGCCCGTGCTTTCTGAAGGCTCAGGTAGCTAGACTGCTCGACCTTGGTCTTCGCTCAGCCCTTGCACCACTTGGCTCAGCCCTGCTTAGCGCTGCAAGAGTTCCGCTCAGCTCCTTCCACTGAGCGAACACTCCCACTCCGCTTCGCTAGGCTTAGCCGCTTGAACGCTTGGCTCAGCTCCGACTCGGGTCGGGCGAGGCGTGTGTTCCTCACTCTGCGATCCCCTTGGCGGTTCTTTTGATCACGGCTACGCTGTGGGCCCAGACTCGCGTCGGCCACACCAGCTGCTGTCGATGTTGAAGGTCTCCGGAGGTGTTCCCAGACGAAACTCGCTCCCCACTTGGCGAGTCCCAGTCCGCACGTGTCCACAGCCCGAAATGCCCCGGGTTTTCCTTAATGAACACAACACCACACACAATATAGCCTCCACTTCCTCTCTTTGGTTCCGGTTCAGAACCACAACACCCCTTCTTTCCCGGTCGGCCTGGGTCTGGGCCGAGTTCGCCTTTATTTCTCTGAGCCTGGGCGAGGCTCGTACCAGCTTCTCCTTTCTTCTCTTCGAGTCAAGCAACGACCCGGTCTGGAGTTAGTGACTCGGTTTGAGCCTAGTCCGAATCCAAGGCACTCACACACACCCTGGGACTACCCGCGCACCAGGTCCACAATGAACCGATACTAATAATCACACAATGCACCGGGGCACGCCAATGTCCCCAAGCACACAATACAATTACCCTGCCTAAACCTCAGAATGGATCACCTTCCACCCGAAAATATGAAATACACCCTGAGATGTAACAGTAATATGAAATAACCGTACTGCCGTCGCACCGAAACACTCTGACAACGTTGACATGTTAACTTAAATTTGTGTGGATGATCGCCAAGACACCTTCTGGCCAAATACCTCCACCACTTGCGTCCTTGGGGCAAAACGAACTCTGTTTCAATGTTTACACATGCACAAACTAGGACTCACTAAGTGGGGGCGCGATATCCCCCCGGGGACACACTGACTGGCTGCGCGAAGAGCGTCGGCTGTATGCTTACCGGGCTCCCTTGAATATCCGCCCGATATCCTTGGTCTTGGCTAATGCTGCGGCTCCACATCGGCGGGCGTCGTCTTGGGGCCACTGGAGGCCGTTGAGATCCGCTTGAAGTGTCCGTGATCTTGGGCGGTCGCACCTAATGTAGGCTGGTTCATGGCTGATTCACCGGATGAGTGTACTCGCCGGTACCACCCACTTCGCCGTCAGTACCACTGTCTGGACTTAAGTCCAGCGACTCTTCACCCGGCACTTCAACTGGACTCCGACAACTCCGCTCTGGCTCATGCAGATCCACGGCGCTCCGCTCGGCTTCTCGACTTGAGCAAAGACTCCAAACATTGCATTCGAGGCCGGGCTCGGACTCCACGTTGCTCCGCTCAGACCTTCGATCCTCGCCCAGCTTGTCGACTTGGGTGAAAGCTCCATGATCACAGTAGAAGCCGGGCTTAAGCTCGGCACGACCTCGCTCGGACGCCTGCTCCTCGACTCATCTCGGCATCTTGGACGACGGCCCCACAACCACTGGGGAGGTTGACCTCAAACTCCATCCGGCTCCGCTCAGCTCCTCGACCTGAGCAGGGACTCCGGTCATCACACTCGAGGCTCAGCTCAAACTCCGCGTAGCTTCTCTCTGCTTCCTGGACTCAGCTCAGACTTGGGATACCCAACACCAGACATCTCGGGTCTCAGACAATCTTCGCTCAAGCCCAGAATCTGAGCGGAGCTCCGCCCAGACCTCGGACTCAGCTTCCTTCGTCGCACGGCTCGTGTCCGACAGTTGGTGGTCCAGATCCATCGCGGCCATGACGTACTTGAAGTCTGCTTGATTGATACGGGTCAGCATCCTGGATTGATACGGGTCAGCTGGACATGGGTTCGGTGGGGAAATCCACCGAGCCTTTTCACACAAGCAAGCCTCGGTCAAACCCTCAACAGACGAAACAAGTGATGATGAAGCAAATGGGAGGGCGACCGAGGCTTCAGACGCAGTGATTGCCATGAAAGTAGCACGAACAAGTGCGCTCGACTTCGTGGTTGGGTATGATTAATGGTGAAATGGGTATGCAAGCTGTCGACGCCGGATACCCGCAGCGGACCGGGTGTACGGTTGTCAAAATTGGGCTGTCATGCGAAAACATACCCGCACCGGAGCTAGCGTAAGTACGCCCGGTCTTCCGCGAATCAAGTCCGGTCTTCAACGAGCATAAGCCCGATCTTCTTGCTGGGAGACAAGACGAAGCCTGGCGACCGCAGCTACGAACCAAGCCTCGCTTGAGGCAGCCACAGCGGTCGAGGGCAGAGAAGAAGCTCTGGGAACCGCGACCGAGTATTAAATGCGATGTGCGTTGACGCGAGAAAAGATTATGAAATGGAACGAACAACATGGCGTTATTTTGGAATGCGATAGCACATGCAGGGTCGCCTAAAGCGCCACGAACCTCGGTCGACATTGGAAAAGAACGTGTACGAAACGGTGAAGCTGGAGCGGGGCCTAACGAGGCTAAATCTCCATCACAGCCTGAGCCAACACGCCAAGACTTGACCCGGCGGCGGAAGAAGCTTCACCCGACTCCTTCGTCTCCTCATCGGGGCTTGGAGAGCGAGAGCGACGAGCGTTTGCGAACTCGGCCACCCATGGAGCGTCCACCATCGAAGTCCGCAGAGAAGATTCAACCATGACCGACGACGCCACGGCCTCCCGAGTCGATCCGTTGGGGACAAACAATGGAACGTCGTTTCAAGGGGCGAAAGCCGTGTTGTATGGGTGGTCTGCCGGCGCTTGGAACCAACAGTTACGCCACGGCTCGCGGGCGTCCACGTCCGCCACCTCGGAGGCCCAGTCGTCGGTAGTGGGGACCCACTCCATCACCTCGAACGAGTATTGCAGGTACGACGGCTCCAGCAAAACCTCGGTGCGGTGCTGTGGAGGTTGTCCGTCGTACGTAATGGCTCCATTCCACACCCTGTGGAGCATCTGGTCCCGCAAGCGATCTGCACGATAACTGCGCCCTCGGTGGTACTTGGACCACGCTTTTCGGAGCGCTAGGACTTGCACGTTGCGCTGACCGAGAGTTTTGGCAAGGTTGTCGATATACGCCTTGACGGTTTTACCCCTAATCCAGTGGCGACGCTCCCACAAGGCGAAACCAAGGTCGCCCCTCTCGGTGGAGTGGTAGGAGTACCCCTGGAACTGCCGCTATAGGCGAACGAGTAGAGCTCGACCAGTTGCACGACGGGATATAGCCACCGAGGATGGGAAACCCGTCGTATCCATCAAACAAGGGTCATCTGGGAAAAGCTGGCGCAATACTTGGAAGGGGTGAGCAGGATCCGTCCACAAGCCAAACTCCATGATCCCATCCACTGAACTGGAGGCGACCAAGTCGTCCTCGAAGACGAGGGGGACACTGGCGTTTTGGATGAGATGCCAGCATTCCGACGCCCCGGGTGCCGTGAAACCCGGCTCCAAGAACAGGGTAGCAAGACCACTGAGCTTACGCGATCCAGGAGCTACGTCGGAAGCGTCAACCACGGCTGGGGCAATCGAGGCAGGTCCAGCCCTCGGTGAAGCTGTCACCGTTGCTGTTTCCATCGCCCGAGCGTGAACAGAGGCCGACCGAGTGTGGAGTCGACTCAGGAGTGGCACAGTGGCCGCTTGTGAGGCTACAGGAACCCCGGTCGCGGCAGCCAGAGGAGAAGGAGCCTCCGAAGGGGCGACAGGTTACGCCACCGAGGTTTCCTCTCTTTCGTCGGGGCCGAACATCTCCAGGAACAACGCTTCGCGGTCCTCGGAGGTCTCGGACTCTTGAGGCGACTCACCGTCAGGTGAACGGTCTGGTGGGCCGCCAGAGCCCAGCAGCCGATTCTCGAGGGGCACGGCCAACGCCGGCTGTACCAGACGAGACTGGCGGAGGAATGGAAGTCGCCGACGAAGGTGAAACCTCGGATGTAACCTCGATGACGGGACCGGAAGGCTCCGTAATGGATCCCAGAACACCCTGAGCGCCGGCCGACACTCCCGGAATCTCGCCAGGCTCAAGGTCATCTTGTGGAACATCACTAGGACTCATACCCGGGTTAGCGTGTTGTTGGTGTCTCTAATACCTTTTGGTAGAGGAGGATTTTAGTGGAATTACCACACCACAACTGGTGCCGCGACCCGGGATTGGTGTGACCTGGACATCCTGCTGGATCCACATTTCCTACATTTCCCCAAGCGCGCCGAGTCAGTCACGTGGTACCCAGAGTTGGCCTCGCGCCAGGCTAATTTGGCGGATCGTAACTGGAACCGGCCAGAGCCCACGGATCTCTTGGAGGCGTTGGATGAGTGTAACAACGAGGATCCATGGCGCAACCACTACCGGGATACTCCCCAATACCATCCTGCGCGCAACATCGCGCGTCTTCCTGCCAAATTCTTCAATCTTCGCGCGGTTGGTGACCAGTAGGATCTAGATCCGGGGCGGCAGCCTTCGTGTGGATCCAGATCCAAACCTTTTGATGGCTGACCGGATTCGTTGGCGCTGGATCCGCACTCGGTACATCGAAACTGGACTTAATACATTCTACTCGTCGGTCTTTCGTTCATGTTAGTTTCGTCTTTTGTGCTGCGATCCAGACCCGCGTTCACACTCCATTCCAGCTTCACCTCACGATTCCAACCACCCTCAGCTTCGTCTTAATTCCACCTTGTCGGACACCACTCGCGTCCGATTATTCCATGCATATATACAGAGTCCCCAATCCATCGATCTGCAACCTCCTTGCAGATCCATCACCACATTCTCCTCCCAAACTGTCCAGCTCACTCTGGGGGATTCCGGCCTCACTGCTCTTCGTGAGACTGCATCGCACCGAACCGGTTTCGGTTGGTGCGACTTCGCAGAAACTCGTGCAGTATAGATCCACAGTTGAGATCCGCCTCATCCACCCAGGATGGATCTTCGTATCCACGCCAGTGTACCAGCAATTCACGGTGGATCCGGCCGTACCTAGTGCGCTTTCCAGTCCTCATGTCAGTAATTTTCTCCACTTCGTACTCATCTTCACCTAGAACCTGGATCCAGCTGTCCTCCGGCAGTAGTACTTCATCAAAGTCGTATCGTTCCGTAGTGCCTTCGGTCAACTGGATCTGGGGTCGGTCTGGGAAACTCCTCACAAGCTTCAACTTGGAAACATGCACCAAGGGGAACAGCCGGTACTCCGTTCCAGGGGTCTCGATCCGCACAGCGTATACTCCCATCTTCTCCGCCACGCGGAACGGACCGTGCCACACATGAGCCAACTGGCGAGCATATCCCTCTTTTACCCGATCCAAATACCACCAAACTCTGGATCCAACTCCAATCTGGTGCGGACGGATCTCTTCAT